TTTTTTTGCTGAATACAATATCAGATCAAATGCACATAAATTTACATGATTAACCTCTGATGAGGATCAAGCCGACAGCCGTGACAACAATAGTCGACGGGACCCCAAACTTTAGATGGCTCCAAAAGGACAGGTTGTAGCCATAGTGTTGGGCCCGACGGGCCTGCTCACAAACGATTAGGTTAGCAGCCGAGCCCAATAAGGAGAGGTTACCAGCCACTGTGCTGACCCAAGCCAGTATAAGCCAAGCTTTCTTTTCACTCGTTGGCGATATCATGGCTGCAGAGGCAGCCACCCTGCCACCTAGTAACAGGACTGGAAAAACGAGCCAAGCACGATTTTTATAATTATACGAGTAAATGAGTTATGAGTAATTGTTATAACTATCAAGTAATTGCAAACATAGGTAATCACAAAGTTTTCTAGTTTTGTACACACTTCTCTTTTGCATGCCTAACTTGAAACATTTTGCACTTAGCTCCCTGGGAACTTGACTTGGACCTATCACAATTCACACATGTCGACTTTTGGTTGCTCGAAAATTTAGCGAGAAAAGTCCAAAAAAGTTCTACAGCAGCATAAGGGTGCTTTCATTTTCGTCATGAAATAATTTTGTTCGTGCTTTTTCTTCACTAACACCAATGAGCCGAACATTCACAAACAGTTGATAAGAACTTAATATTCTGAAAATTGCCAGATAAAAAGCACACTCAAGAGAAAAAACTTGTGACACACACCTGTAGGCACATTTGAGGCCACATTCGAGAGGATTAGTATAACAACTGCCAGAACTGAAATCCCGCCAATATGATCGATTTTCGAATACGGCTCCATGAATTCCCACACCGTGCTCGGAATCCCAGTCCTATTAAACCCATCCACCGTTATAAACATCCCACAGAAGAAAATCAAGAGCGAGTAAGACACCTGCAGAAAGATGAAGAGTAAAGTAAACACTACTACAATCATCAAGAACTTCTAAACACAAAACATTCACTCTGAGAATCAATCCAAGACAATATTTTTTTTTTTTCGAGCGAAAACAACAATATATATATATATACACGTATGTATTTTGCGCGGATCACCTTTTCGAGAGAGGGTCTAGCGTCTTTAAAATCAAGAACGGCGAGCGCAAGCGCGGCCGTGATTGCAGTCCAAGACATGTTGAGACCCATAAGCAAAGATATCAACATTCCCAAAGTGACCAAATAAACACAAGCCTTCCACAAAGCCCTCGTCCACTTCCTCGAAAAACCCAACTTCCCCTCCGCAAACGAACCCAATCCTCCGACCCCTACCCCATTGACCGACGAGCTCCTCCTCGAACAAAAACCTCCCAAATCCTCCAAATTCTCACTAACTTCCAATCTCTCACTCGGATTTTTCTTGATCTCACCTTCCAAGTGGTGTCCGTTCATGCCGAGCAAGCTGCGCACACTATTATTCCCCTCGGACAAGTTACCTCGATTTCTAAGGTTTGACTCGAGTGGACTCGCACCGGTTGACTCGAGAGCTGCGGTCAACTCTTGAGAGTTGAGGGACGCTTGGTGGGACATAGTGGCGGGCGAGAAATTGTGAAAATTGATGTCTTCTTCGCCAACGACCTCCGTAGAAGCATCTTCCTCGTCTTTTTGCACGGAGAGCAATTTCCAAAACATACATAGGAGAATAAGAACATTCACGAAAACCCCAACTAGCATGGCGGGCAAAATCCCGAGCAAGAATCCTCCGAACGTGATTCCACTCTGAACCGCAATCACGAGATTCTGTGGGTTTCCGATTGGCGTGGCTGCGGAGCCTATATTCGCGCTCGAGGCAAGTGCCAGCAAAAACGGATGTGGCGGGAGATTTTGCTGTCGGGCGATTTTCAGCACGAACTCTGTTAAAACGACACAAGAAGTGTCGTTTGTGAAAAAAGCGCTGCATATAGCGGAAATGAGGCAGATTCGGCAGAGGAGGTCTTTTGCACCTCGGCTTTTGTAGGAGAGGAGTTTGCCGAGGTATTTGAACATATCGGCTCGTTCGAGGTAGACGCTAACGACCATTGTCCCGAAGAGGAGGCCGAGTATGGGGAGGTCGATTGCTGCGTAAGCTTGTTCGGGTGACATCACTCGGAAGAGGACCATGAGCATGGCGCCCAAGAGTGAGCCGGCTGTGCGGCCCACGGGCAGGAAGGGCACGGCAGGGAAAACAGCGAGTACCCAGAATACGGAAAAAGCTAACGAACCGAGAATTACTTTTACGGTTGGGCCCATGACCATTTTTTTTAATTGAGGTTAATAAGGGAAAAAAAATAATGATAAAAAGATCAGATTTTTATCCCTTTGGAGTGCGGGTTTTGTGCAGAAAAGAAATGGGGATCTGGAAAATGGAAAGTGATATTGCAGAAAGTTTGAATTAAATGATTGGGGAAATTAATGAATGAGACCTGGGAAGCTGCGAATCTTCGAGTCTGGCAGTACAATTTGACACAAAATTGAAAAAGAGTTCTGAAATTGAGGAAAATTTCAGTAAGTGCTTAAAATGGAGAGTAATAATTAAATCGCCATATACGAAGAGAAATGAAGAACCACAGAACGATTAGAGACATAAATATCATTCATCAAATCGCTACAAGGAAGCTACTGGCAGATATTCGAGCAGAAAATCTAAGAACCCAATAAACCAAAAAGATTCGAACACACAAAAATCCGCAGAATTAATGATTTCATTCGATTCAGGACTGGGAAGGCAGGAAAACAGCAGAAGTGATTTTAGAAGAGAAATCACCTGAAACCACCTTTTTAGCTTGCAGCTTTCATGGGGACTATATACAGTTAGCTTCGGTTATTTTCCTTGTATAGGTGCTGCAGATTTGAGTAGATATTTTCCGGAACTCAATGATTAATGGAAAATCCTTTGGGGTTGACTTGGGGATTCGACTTTCCAGAAACACGTCAGCACTCACAAGTGACATGAGATTAAAAAGTGGGATGTTTCTTTCTTTTTTACGGAGCCCCGCTACACGGGTGCACAATTTTAAGGCTATTTATTCAGACTTATAATTATATACATGAATAAAGAAAAATGTAGGGAATTGCATAATTTTAAGGCTATTTATCCAGACTTATAATTATATACATGAATAAAGAAAAATGTACGGAATATATATAGTACGTGACCCGCGAGATATATTTATTTGGAGAATATTATATTATAAGATGCAATATTCAATAAAAGTTTATAATACGCAAGAATTGTACGATGTTCAATAAAATTTTTTTTTTTATAATGAATTTAAAGATATTCTAAAATATAACAAAAATTAATTTTTTTATTACAATTAGGAATTTTACTAAATATAAACTCTCAATCTATGGTGTTACGTTTAAGTCTAAAACATTAGGAATTTTACCTCTTTTAATCAACGTTTAAGTCTAAAAAACAATAGAGTTATTATAAGTTTTTTTTCTACATCTTTTAAAACATTAAATATGAGTAGTTAGGGCTAGCTTGTAAAATAATTAATATATTATCTCACTAAAATATTTATACTAATAAAAATTTAATTTTAGCATATAAATTTATCCCTTGATATAAGAGAAAGTAACAATTTTACATATTGTTGTTCACCATATAATATTTAATTATTATTTTATTATATAATAAAAAATGAATATTGTTAAATAGGGTAGTAGAATTGTTATAAAATTATATTTATTTTTTTTTTACAATATGGATTTAATATTTTTTATGATTTGATAATATAAACAAATCTATACTTAACTTTGACAAATAAAACAAATAAATACTTTAGTAAGTATTTAATGTATATACTAAATAGGAATATATTTGGTATAATTAAATACCAAATATAATCAAATAAGTCAAAGTGTACATTTTTATTTGATATTTAATTTTTTTATTATTAAAACCTTTTTATTATACTTACCTTTTTAAAATAAAACAAATAAATAAATCAATTATATAAATAAAATATTATAATACCAAAATAGTAATGACATTTAATGCAGTTGACTTTTCTGGATAATAAATGTAGTAAATAGAATATCCTTTTATATAATATAATACGGAAATAGTAATGCAATAAATGCTGTTGACTTTTCTGGCTACTTAATTTGGTAAATAGTACCCCTTTAATATAAGTATAGATGATTAATCTCACAATTAATCAACTCACAAGTGACATGAGATTAAAAAGTGGGATGTTTCTTTCTTTTTGATGATTAAACTCACAATTAGTCAATTGAGTTCGAGCGTAGTCAAATTCGAGTTTTAAGGAGTTTGAATTATATAAATGATGTAAAATTTTTATTTTTAAACGTTAATGAGTCGGGTTCGTTTAATTAACAAAATGAGATTGAGATCTAAACGAGCGAGCGAAGATTACGAACAACTTGCTTTCTTTTAATATTTCTATATACATCATGACATCTTATACTTAGAGCTATTAAACGACACAAACAGCTCGTGAGCTCGACTCTACTCATTTGTTAAAATGACAAGCCGAACTCATTTAGTTAATGGCTCGATTCGTTAAGCTTCGAAACTAAAGATTTTTATTGTAATTTTGTTATATGTCATCTCATCATGGCTCTGAGCTCGCTCGTGCTCAAGTTAATTGTTGGAATATTACTTGTGAGTTGTCCCACATTGATTTTATAGGGTAAATAAGCTTAGTTTATAAGTCTAGTGAGCTATTCCTCTCATCACCAATTGGTTTTGGAATGGACTTCACTAAGGTGCGCTTCATCTGGTGGGATCACACCCTCTTCCTCAGGTTCTAATATTAATTGAGATTAATTAAGACTCTTTTACACATAAAGGTCAAGACCAACAAATTTGAAGGAGCTTTTGCCCAGCTTTAGAAAGAGCAGGAAGAGGAGAAGGAGAAAGCAGAGAAAGAAAGACACGAAGAGAAAGATTCGAACGAGGCAGAATCTCATTTTCCATCAACAGTTCTGTAATTATTCTCTCTCTCTCTCTCGATCACTCTTTATTTCTCTATGTATGAAGTTTAATGTGTTATTTTTTCCAGATACTCCTCAAGCTTTAGTTACTCAGCAGTCAACAAGAAGCTTCTTCAGGTACAGTTATGAGTTGCTCTAATTATATCTGAGAATGCCGAAACTCAAAGCTGAAAGAGAAAAGAAAAAAGTGTGCGAGGATGAGCCTGATTTTGTTTTAAAATATGGGTTGGAAAGTGTTTTTTGAACATTCATTCGAGTGAACTGTGTAAGTAGTATTAGCCAGTCCCGTGTTACTTCAGATTGAAATACAGTTAAACTGCTTTATAGTTGCATGCCCAACATTCTTGTATACTTTACTTTTTACCTATTTCTCTTCATTTTCCTTGTTTTACACCCAATTTCTTAAGGCCTGTGTATTATGAATCCAAAAACTTCCATAGTTGGTTCGGTGATGGAGGTGCTAAAAGAGAAATGAGCCCGCTCGTGAACTCTCTTCGGTTCAAGCTCTTTTAAAGCTCATTAGTGAATGAGTCCAGCAGAGTTCGGCTCGCTGAGAATTGAGTTCGACTTGTTGATATTGATAAACGAGTCAACCTTGAGCTTGTTTATCAGCATAATAACTCCCGGCTCGAGCTCGAGTATGGCTCAGCTCATTTACACATCTATTCAAGAACGCGGTATAAAAAGAAAGAAAAAATCAAAAAGAGGAAAACCTTAAAAACAACAATTTCACTTGGACATCAACATCAAGCCAAGCCCCATAGAACTTGCAATCCAAATTACCAACATTCATCATCAACTAAAAGGCAAAACAAAACAAGACACCACCAAGTTACAAAACAAACTCGTTAAAATCCATTTCAAAAAAAAAAGAAAAGTAACAATCAACAACATTATTAGCCATCCAAATCTCTCAATAGCCTCTTCAAAGTTCAAACCTCCAACAAGAACTCCTTATCCTTCTCCAACCTCTCCATAGCTTTGGCCTCCAAGCTAATCTCCACATCAATGCTCCTCCCCCCACTTTTACCCGGGTACAAATACACCATCCCGTCAAACCGGTTGTTCGACCCGCTCCTCACGCTTTCCGGGCTTCCCCACCCGAAATCCACCTCGTACACCTTAAACCTCGGCGAACTCCCGACCGCCACGCAGTTCACTCCCGCGTCCTTGTACTGAAAAATAACCGGGCTCGCCTCCCACTCCTCGTTCCTCTTCTTGATGGCCTCCGCATTGTGGGCCTCGATCGCGGCCCGTATGAGGCCCGGCCCAAAATCGTCCGGCCCGTTCGCGACGGGCCCGGCCGGAGCCACCGTGAAGATCGCCTGGATTAGGTTCCCGAAATAGGTCTCGGGCATCGAGGGCTCCACGCGGGCCCGACAATCGGCGAACACCGTGAAAACAGTGTAGTCCTCAGGGGCGAGCCCGCGGGCCCGGGTGACGGCCCGCCACACGTGGGCCGAGAGGGATTGGAATGTGGTGAAGGGTTTTGGGCCGGGCCCGACGTTGGCTTTGCGCTTGATTTGGTCGATTTGGGGCTCGGAGAACTTGAAGACCTTCTCGCGGAGGAGGGGGGTTTCGGGCTTGCCGTTGGCGGCGTGCTCGGGCGCATCGGACGGTTGGGAGAGGTTGAGCTTGACTCGGGTGTTGCGGGCCTTGGTGCGGTCGAGGAAGGGACGGGCCGGGTTGGGGGTTGTGGGCCCACTGCAGATGTGGGCCCACGCGCTCATGAAGTGCCACGTGGAGGTGCCGTCGAGGATGGCGTGGTTGAAGGCGCAGCCCATGGCAAGCCCATCCTTGAGCTTGGTGAGCTGGAATTAATGAAAATGAAAAAAGGAAAAAATTGAATTAAAATGAATTAGTTATTCTAACAGTGAAAAAAAAAAGAAGGAAGTTTACTCTATTGTTATTTGATTGTTTGAACATTGAATGTTTAGCAAATGTTGTGCAACATTTGTATATTACTGTTGAATTAGTGTGGCAAAAATAAAATATTAGACCTGAATTGCTGAAATTCTCTAAGAATTTCAACAAATGTTACAATGTTGTATAGCCATGTAAAATTAAAAGTTACAGTTGATGGAATTTATCGGACTGTCGGATTGAATGAAAAAAAAAAATTGCTACTATTTTTTAATCCACCATAAATGCGAAGGCTGCAATACAGGTGGAGTGTAGGACCAAGCTAAGTTAATACGATGATTTTCATGTAATTGGACCCCACAGTCATTGATTTCAACAAACTTGCCTACTGGCTACATCCCCAAAAAGNTGTTGTTAAATCTTCTTAGGAAAATGTTTATCAAAGCATTGTATTATTTAAAGAATGAACAAAATTTGTGAAGTTAAAAAGAAAATAAGCTACTTATTTAATAAACGACCTCTCAATTATCTGTTTGAACCCGAGTTGAAACATTCCATGAATCAAGACAAATGAAAAATGATGTGCTTTTCTTAAAAAAAAAAGAAAAAACAATTCAATTAGTCTCCTAATCCGCTATCCCCTGTATTCTCCTGTCATTCAAAAATATATAATAACATATGTATATTTTTGTAAAAAAGTAATTAAATTTTAAAATAATTTTTCTTATTAATTTTAAAAATTTAAAAATAATTTTTTTAACCAATACATGGGTGTTGTATAGTAGTTTTTAATTGAAAAGGAGAAATCGTTAATAATTAAACATGCCATATATTATATTATTTTATCAATGCAGCTATTTATTTTTTACCAAATATACATGTGCTATATGTATTATATCATTATATGGAATATGAATAATTGGGCTATGAGCCTGCTCGTATATAATTTGGGGTAATGGAGTTTACAGATCCTTTAGTTTGACAAAGGTCAAACCAATGTCCAGTCCACCACTGGTCCAATGTCTAAGCGGTCGTGGACCATTTTTTTTAATTTTTGGATCACGAGAAACAAAATCACACTCCAAAAAAAATATATACTATATACTTCTGTCTGTGAGGCACTGAATATAATAAACTAAAATAATTGGTAAAATGTTTTTAATTTTATGATAAAATGCCTTTTTAATCCGACAGTCACACATTTTAGCAAAAGTTTTGAACCAAAGTATACAATATACTACCATCCGTCTACTACATGAGTGTATAAAAACAAGAAAAAATAAAAAAAAAAAAAATTATAGAGTTTAGTATTGTAATATATACAAAATAAATAAATGTAAGAAATCTCATTAGAATATGATGTTAGAATCACGTTATGAATTCAATTCAAAATTTTGGAGTGTGAAGAAATTTGTTAGCATATGAATTCAATTCAAAATTTTGGAGTGTGAAGAAATTTGTTAGCATATGTTTGCCAAAAAATTGAAAACATTGTTAATTGAATTATCAAATAAAAGAATAAATAAAAGAATATAAAAGAATTAATGTAGATATGGTATTAGTTAATTCAATTATCAAATAAAAGAATATAAAAAATTAATTATCAAATAAAATATTAGTAACTCAATTATCAAATAAAAGAAACATTGTTAATTAGACATTGATCCCCTGTCAAATAAAAGATCTATTGTTAACTCAATTATTAAATTCAAGTGATGTTCAAAATTGAAAAATGAAATAAGGAAAGGAATAGTTGTGTGATCTTTAAATTTAAAACAAATTTAGTAATGAAAGAGAGATTGATGGGAGGCAATGATATACGGTGGAAAAATTAATTATGGTACTTTCCAAGCCAAATTTATTTTTAAATTTTTTATTCGAACCTAAATACAAATTATGATATTGTGACATATAAGATTACAAAGTGTGAGAGCATGCACTTAAGCTCAGCACGTTTTGAAATAATATATGGTGAATTATTTGGACAATTTTGACTTTCTTTCCAAAAATGTACTATGCAATATTATTCATTGCACCTAAAGTAGTTACTTATTTTTACATTATTATATTAAATAATTTTTAATTAATACATAGTCACTTCATAGAGTACTTATTCAAGCTCAGCCAAAGTAGCTCATGTTCTAGCTCGTGCTGGTTAACAATTTAGTCGATTCATTTGTGAAAGTTCAACTCAACTTGTTTAACAAGCCTAAAGTTTTAAATGAACATTTCACAAATGCAAAATCTCCATTCGATAACAAGATCGGCTCGACTGTTTCATGTATAACCCCTAAAATTTTTGAAAAAGAAAAAAAAAATTGTCGTTCTTTTACTGGACTTGGTTCTTAATATAGAAGAAAAAAAAAAATTGAGTTGTTCTTTTGTTCTACTCGGCTAGTTTAATATACCATTAGTTGTTCGATCTCATTACTTAAACGATTTTCTGAGTCGAACCTAATTGTGTTCCTCCATTCACACAACAAATTAAATTCAAAATTAATTATATATATATAAAAGAGAGAACATTTTCCGGCGAACCTGCACCGCCAGCAGCGGCCGCTGCAGTCCCTCCAGATTCAGCACCCCATTGTACGGCAGCAGCTCCTTGAACTTAGACGTCCCCTCCTCCGCCGTCAGCTCCGCCACCGCGATATCCTCCGCCGCCGCCGTCACGACCTCGACCCCGACAGCATCACCATCATCGTACACCACCTTGAACACGCCGTCCTCGTCCTTGTCCAATTTCCCCGCCAGCTGGTAAAAATCCTCCAAAACCAGAGCCAGCCCATCCTTCAATTTCTCCACCACCGCCTCAAAATCCTCGCAATTTTTGTACACGAGCAATTTTTGATTATAGAAAAATGCTAAATAAGGGAGATCGAAAGTGACCAGCTGGCACTCCTGCCGGGCGATGGGTTTCTTGGGCTTCACGTTTGCTTTGCCGAGGATTTTCACGTTTCCGGCTTCGGGCTTCTTCTCCTCCTTGGAAATTTCGCCGGCCATGATTGGGGCTTGAAGTGATAAAAGGAGAAAGAGTTGGGGAGGAATGTGTTATTTTAATGAAATTGAATTTTGTTTTGGGGGCTTGGGTAAATGGGTTTTTGGAGATATACACATATTTATAAGGGGGAATTGAAAATGTTACAACTCTTGTGTGGTTGGGATTGCATTTATTGGGTTTTGATGGTACAGTTGTGAAACATTTATTGCCACCTTTTTTTTCCCTAGCCGCTGTGTTTTTTGGTGGGAGTTGAGTATTTGAGTTAAAAGAAGATGCTTTTTAGCCCCTTTTTCCCTTGCCCGTTTTCTTTTGGCTCTCCGCTCTTGCATTTGTAATTAGGAATCGAGTTTGAGTTCTTGATATTTACTCTGTTGCGAGGCCTTTTCCGGTCGACTTAAGATTGACCTTTTAAGTTAACCACCCAATGAAAGTTCTTGTTACAAAAATTAGGAAAATACGTAAAAATCTTTATTATTAAAACCTAGCGAGCGGGTCAAAACTAATCGAGCCTTAAATAAGCTCGAACTCGGTTCGTTTGAGGAGTCGAACCAAACTTACAAATGACTTATTCTGTTTAACAACTTTAGATAAGACCTAGGTGAGAAGTTAAAGTAAGTCATGGAGTTTTACCAGTTTTTTTCAAGTGGAACGAGTTTAGTGATCTGAGCTCGACCATAAGTTCGTTTCCCATAAATCGAACGGTCATTTGGCAAGGGTTGGGTTTAAAAATCTATAAAACATTGCACAAATTCAGGTGACTAAACTATTAGACAAATTGAATAATCATGTTTTTTTAATAAAAAAAATATATATATATATATATATATATATATATATATATTTATATTAAGAATATATGGTACACTTCTATTTGAGTTTTGTCCACTTCTAACTTGTTAGAAGTGGACTAAACTACATCTTTCTTGTAATGACATAATGAGAATTACCACTAATGTTGGTTAGGACTATCAAGTAGCAAAATGTTACTTCTCTTCTAGTGTGATTCGTCTCTTGATTTACTTTGCACACATCCAAATAACACATTTTTTTTTTTTTTTTCATAGTGATAATATTTCTTTTATAATAATAAGAGTTTTGATTTTGACAATTAGTTGCATCCGTGACTAATAATTTATTTACATATTAACCATCACATTTTAATCCTATAATTACGTTTTATTTAAATGCATGATAATCAATGTCCTCAAACTTGATTGTGGATGTGAGAATATTTAATTTGTACAACTTATGAAATTAAATGTATATAGTTGTTTAACATAAAATTATACCAACAATGGATAGGGTCGTTGCCCCTAAGAGACTAGCAATTTCAATAGTTGACCATTTTCCTTGTATTTTCTACTTGTTTACATGTTGGTCAAATGATTGTAGAGGTAGCTGCTCTATGCCCAAATCTAAATAAACGGCTGATTATTATTCAGAGCTAAAAAAATATTTATTTATTTATTTTGTTTAATGGATCAATAATGGGTCATGAAGGCCTGTGCTCTTCCCTTGGGCCCCATTTGGGCTGTCAACCAATTGACATCTGATCATATTTATGAGCCCCTCACAAAGTGCACCAAATCAATGTGTATGAGAAGTGATCTAGAGTTGTTCATTAATCAATAAGTTTTGTTTCAAGTATTTTTTCCCTTGTATTCTAATTTCAGTCCAATTTCTGTCTAAGTGATCATATCATACTAGGAATAATGCAATTTTCTTTGCCAAATGTACATATTTGTACAAAATTTTAAATGTATTTATGGCATTAATCGCTATCATACATTAGGTACAAGGCCCCCAACCAAGCACATGATAGAATGAATCCCATATGGTCATTCATATGTACAGCTTGTAAGTTTTACTGCATATAATATACATAGTTTCATATAACGAGTAATGACATGTACGTAAGAGTGTAAACGAGTCGAATCGCGCTCACGTTATCGAGCTTGATTACTGGTTCATTTATCAACATTAATGAGTAGAGCTTGAGTCGAATCTAACGAGCCGAATTATAGAAACTTGTAAAAAAATCCTCTTTTCGAGCCGATTCGACCTCGATTAACTAAACGACCAGAGTTTTGCTTGTTTTCCAAACGAGCAGAGCCGAAGTACTCAAGCAGAGCGAGCTTGCGAGCGGCTCGTTTCTTTTAACAACTCTACTGTAGTGTGAGAACAGTAAAAACGCTATTGATTGCGTGTATAACTATTTCTCATTATATTTAATTCTATTTTTAATTTAGATTTATTTTTTAGAAACAACAAAACTACAATGATGATGATATATGTGCATGTACATAATAACACTTTATTATAATATAATACAAGAAAAAAAATCGTCATACATAACTAGAAATAGTATCATGTTCGGTTCTCACTGTTCGCGCACCTTGCGACGCAAATGTTACCAACTTTGATTCCCAATTGATGATCAACATCCATAAGAGCTAACTTTGTATATATACGAGTTGAAATAATAGTGTCACGAGTTAAGCCAACTTTGATTATCAATTGAGGATCAACATAAAGAGCTCAGCTAACTTAATATACGAGTTGAAAATTAAATTAAATTAAATTAGATTAAATTATAGTGTCACATGTTTAATTAGGTCACATAAATTATATGACCAAAGGGCTTGGTGAAGAATTCAAGTTGGTAACATTAGTACCGGAATTCAGAATTTCCTTTGTCACAAGGTTTCTAGCTCTATTAATCGTCATAAAACATAGATATAAATGCTCTTCCAACTCATCAAGCTGCTCAATAAAGCTTTGGTTATTCCTCCTGAGCTGGCAAGCCACCTCATCACTGGCTCCGAGCCGATCATCCCCTCTATCAATCCACATCTGCACCAAACCCTCCACGTGTTCCAGCTCATTATTCAGCCGAGCCACGTGTCGGCTAATTGTGTCCAAGTCCCTAAGCAAAATGTACGTCCCCTTAGCAGCCGATTCGAGCTGAGCCGAGCATCTAGCCAGCCTGTCCACCGAGACCAGCTCGAGCGAGCCCATTAAAAATCCCGGCCCAGCCACGAGCATTATGAACCCGTGGGCCGCGACTATGACTATTAGCGAACCCGTGATAGCCACGAGCAGAGCAGCCGAGCCGAACCTGAGCTTCTTGAGCCGGTTGATTCTGGATTGGGTCCGCTGGCGCCGGGACTCGAGCCGCTTGAGCAGTTCCGTGCAATCGGTTCGCACGGACTCAAAACGGCTCATCGATGGGGCGGCCGTGGAAAACGGGTTGGATCGCGAAAACAGGGTGATTCGGGCCAGGACTAGAGGCAAATGGGCTATTTCCCGGCCCGGCCTGTTAGGGTTAGGGTTGACAGGGCTTTCGAGGGAGAATTTGTATCGTTTTCTTATGCGGTCGATGTCTTTGAGGAGAAGTCCGCACAAGTGAGAGGCGTTTGATGTTAGGGAAAAATACTCGATTAGGAGGGAAAATATTTTCGGGTGGGCTCGGGTTAAGTTGAGGATCCGTGTGGCCGTGGATTGGTCGGGATCCAATAGTTGCTCGGCAAAGAGACGGTAAGACGGGAGTCGGGCGGCTGAGGTGGAGCCGAGGCTTCTATGTGTGGTGAGACGGCCTTTGTTTAGAGTGAGAACGTGAGTCCAAAAATCGTTATACGATTCGGTACGGAACGCGTTTGCGTACTCTTCTCGGATGTCGAGAGATTCTGGGTTTGGGTCGTCTGTCTGGGTCGCTATACAAATTTATGTAAAAGATAAGAGAAAAAGGTTTAAATATGTTTAAATGTTTAAATGTGAGCAACAGTACGATTCAGTGATTATCGAGACGTACCGTTAAATGGGAATAACTTTCTGATCCCTTGCAAATTGATCTTCATTGTATATTTTGATTTGGCCTACAAAAAGAACTGCAAACAACAAATACGAAATGATTTAAGTAATATTATTTAGAAATTAGCGGGATTAATCAGCTGAAAAAAAATTGTACATTGGAAAAAGGAGCAATTTTCATATAATTGTAATTCGTGTGGCTTTTATATGGTCGCAGTGGAATATTATTCGAAACTATATGTTGCTTTGCTTGGAAGAAATAAACTGTTTATTTTGATGGTTCTTGAAGCTAAGATGACAAAATATTTGCCTAAATTGTACCTTAGAAGGAAATTACAAGATATGAAGACACTCAAATGTTAGGGAGAAAACATTTCGTAATATTCTTTCGTTTCATATGAGATGATGATGGTCTGACGTCATATCTTCTCATCCCCTTATATCCCCTTCCCCTTATATATTAATTCAGAACGTGTTGAACCTATGTGGCAGGCTCGCATGCTTCGGGATCCTATGTGGCAAAATTACATGCTTCGTTATCTATACTTATATAATAAGAATTAACATTTATCCAAAATAGTAGGTCAAATTATGGTCAATGGCGGATTTGCATTAAATATTTTCCAAAACTGGTAAGTTTTTGTCCTTTTCACACTTCTCATTAATTATGTCATTTTCACACTTCTCATTTATTATGTCCTTTTCACATTTTTCATTAATTATGTCCTTTCACACTTCTCATTAATTATGTCATTTTCACACATCTAATTAATTCATTAATTACGACATAATTATCATAAATCATTCCATCTGAACTTTTGTCGTTAAAATGTATAGCGATCTGTTATGACCTTATCCCATTGATATTTCCATGAAGCGTCCTTATCGCGTTCTATTTTTTTTTGTAACCACTCTATATCAATAACCCGATATTTGGTTAATGATAGCACACGTTTTTATTTCAAGGAGCGGATATTCTTTGACCTTTAATTAATCTGAACTGATTGCCTTGACTTTTTAATTTTTAAAAACTCTTTTTTTTTTAAAAAAAAATATTTCGACTTAAGATTCGGATTTCATTATACAAGTAATCGGATTGTTTGAATGAAAATGAATGAAAAGAACACAAAAAACAAGTAGCCTTACTCATATAACAAATCCTAGAATATTAGTTTGTTCACCAAAAAGAGACAAATCCTAGAAATCCTAAAATATTAGTTTGTTCACCAAAAATATTAGTTTGATTTTTAGGATTTGTCTCTTTTGAAAATATTAGTTTGTGATAATGAGGAATTACCAAATAATCAAACTCATAATGTTGTGTACAAGGAGGTTTTTAAAAATATATGATTGTTACCGAGCTTTTTATGATTCAACAATGTTCCTATGTATTTTAATGATTTCAATTTCGATCCTACGTGAGGTTATATTATTCTTCCAAATTTTACATTCCGTGCATCGCACGGGTTACGTACTAGTTAGGGTTGGATAGATTTAGTTTACTTTTAATCTAAAAACATTTAAGTTCGAATTATCTATAAATATGTTGATTATTTATGGTAGGGGTGGGCGCGGTCTGGGACGGTGCTGGATTTGACTTGTCCGGATACCGATCCCACTTTTATGAATCGGTCCATGAACGATCCGGAATGAGGTACCATCTCCACCCATGTAATACATGAGTGTTGTATTAGTTTTTAAATTAAATAAAGCTTTATAAAAGTATTAAAAAAGAAGACATTTCTTGTACTATCTGGCATGTTGTGTTATTACCGGTATATCTAAATTGAAGTTAGTACAACCTAGTAATTTGATAAAAATAGTACTTAATGAGTTACCATACCAGTCGCAACTAGGGTTGCAAACAAGTCGAGTAACTCACGAGCCGAGTCAATGCTCGACTCGAGCTCAGTCAAATTCCAGCTCGAGTCGAGTTCGAGCAGTTAATCGAGCAAACGAGTCCAGTCTCAAATATCATTTCAAGAGGCTCGTAAAAGTCGCTTGACTTTTTATTTACATAAATACCCTATATATATAATTTAATTATCAATATTAGAACACTAAGGCTAAAATTGTCTATTTAGATAAAAAATAGTACCTTTATATTTAAAATTTGGTTGTTAAAATTTTGAGCTGAACTCAAGTCATGTCGAGTATCGAGTCGCGCTCGAGTATTCTTGTTTTTTCAACGAGTCGAGTCGAACACTATTTTACATGGCTCGTCGAGCTCGAGCTGTGAATAAAAAAGTTCGAGTTGCGCTCGACAGGGTCTGTGCTTGACTCGACTCGATTCGACTCGTTTGCAGCCCTACAAATGTATAGTCTTATTAGTACTACATAATGACAAATAAAGTAAGGTATTTAAAACATTGATCATAGTTGTTTTAGTAAAAGAAGAGGGTAGACATTTGTTTGTGACTTCCTACACTACGAATATTCTAAAGAGAACCATTTATAAATTAATTTATTGATATATATTTTAATATACACATTAATATACATTTACTGGATAAATGTGAATGATTTATAAATTAATATACATTTATGGATAATTGTGTATTTTCAAGCATTCAATGACTGCGTAACAAAATTGACGCACTATTTTTTTATGTTTGGATTATATAACTAACTTGCATACAGAAACTAACCCATATATTTTCACTATATGTAACATTAACGCGAATAAAAAGAAACTTAATATTGAATTTTAACACGACTCTGAAAAATTAATCAAAAAATATGTAAGAAAACATGTTATGTACACCTATGTATATATTCATTATATACTTGTATCATCTTTTAAAAAACATTAGGCAAGAATAATTTTATGTATGCAAATTTCTTTGCAAAAAGAAAATGATCATCACCAAAAGCGACATAACAGAGAAAAGAAAACACGTGAGCCTTATGGGCCATATATATCCCGAACATTGTTACGCTTTTTTAAAGGACAAATATTGATCAGAGAAAAATGAGTGGACAAAAATTGACTAAAAGCATATAGTCTTTAAAAAATAAAATAGCTAAAAATCTTAAGAACCAGATTTTATACATGATAAATCCACATGCTTGAAAGGTTGTTACACAAATTTCATTTCCTGTACATAATAATTCATTTAATTGTCTTTATATTAAGAAAGAATTAAAGATAAAAAAATAATTAATAATATTATTTAAGTCGGACATTTTATCAACATCAAGTTTAGCGTGTGTTATTAAAAGAAATAATTTGAGTGAATTAACTCAAAGTGAGGTTTTTTTAGTTAACTAAAGTTAATTTAGAAAAAATTGTATAATTAATTGTTAGTGAAATTTTGAATTTATATTAAAATAATAATTAAAATAAAACAATTGAAATTAGTTTGATGTAAAAGTATAAGAGAGATAATATGAAGTGATGGTTAATTAGTTAAAATTATGTAAGTGGATAAATAGTAAATTAAAGTTGATATAAGGTATAAAAATAATTGGTTGTTATTATTTAATAATTAATTATTATTATTTAATTATATTTATAGTATTGAAGACAGTGAGGCTAATTTAAAATTAAGTTAAATTTTGAGTATGAATTAATTTGAATTGAGATTTTTCTTTTACAAACATAGCCTTTAACCATTTAAACACACACATTCATACTCACACTCTGACACAAATATTTGTCCATTCAAATAATTAAAAAACTTTTGCTTTTCGTTTGGAAAACAAAAAAAAAAACTAATAAAATTTTCACTCATCACATTTTCAAATCAATTTTTAAATTCCTTGTTATAAATCACATCACAAAATTAAACTCGCTATATCACAACACAGTCAAAAGTTTCGTACATAAGTAAATATTTTATTTCTCTTTTTCATCATTATTATAATTTTTTTTGTAATCACTCGAAGCAAAACATAAAATCAATCCGGTGCCAAACTCAATCGATACGCTAAAAGTCATCCCCATCGTAACCCAAATCGTCCTCCACCCGATCCGCCACGTCATCAGCAATCTTGTCCTCCAGCGCATCCACACCCTCCGCCAGCGCGAGTCCACCCAATGCCCCTGCGACCGCACCCACAGCCAATCCCGTACCCATCCCTCCGAACTTGCTTTTCTTGTGCTCCTCCCCATACCCCTGCTGCTGCCCGCTGTAACCGCCCTGCCCGTAGTACCCACCCTGCCCGTACGCCGGCTGCTCGTAGATCGGCGGCGGTGCGCCGTACGCGCCAGGATAGCCTGCCGCAGGGGCCGCATAGGCCGGAGGCCCGCCATAGGGGCCACCGTACGGCGGTGGCGGATAGTACTCCCTGGTCCCCGACGGAGGCACGCCGTACGGCGGCGTGTGGTAGGGATCCGGCGCGGGGTACCGCGGCGGCTCGCGGACGGCGACCCTGACCTCCAGCTTCCCCTGCGGCCGGCCGGAGGGGCGCTTCAGCTCGAGTCTCCTCTCGGCAGCGACGCCGAGGCCGGCGTCGTCGACGACGTCGCGGAGGCGGAGCCTGGCGGATCCGATGAGCGGCTTGGTGTCCTCGGCGGCGTCGGCGTGGACGACATCGACGCAGAGGGTGGAGTCCTCGATCGGGGAGTCGAAGGGGATGAGGAGCCTGTCGCCCCAGCGGGGGGAGGTGTCGCCGTCCTCGTCGACGCGGGTGGAGCGCTTGGCGGCGGCGGCGGCGGCGTTGTCGACCCAGACGACGGCGTAGGGGCGGAGCTTGCCGTGACGCCAGTTGACGTTCTTGAGGTCCTTGGCGGAGGTCACGGTGACTTCGACCTCGTAACGTGATCCCATTTCTGGAAAAGTGATTTTTTTTTTTATTTCTTTTTTGTTTTGTTTTTCTTATGGATGATGAAATGAAAATTTTGAGGGGGATTTATATAGAGATGCTTTGATTTGGTGTGGTTAGTTACTCGAATTTTCTTTTCATTTTGATTTGAAAGTTGAAACAATCTAGAAGGTATTATCTGGGTTTAGTGCCTTTTGTGTGGATTAAGGACATTTTTGCCCTTTCTGATGGCGAAAGGAAGCGTGCAGTTTCTGATGCTCGGCCACAATGAAGTAGAAATATCGAATTTGTACACTTTGTGTACAAAAATTGAAAAATATTAAGCAATGTATTTGATGGTAGAATTTACTGATTTTGTATAATTGTGATTATTGATATTATATATTTTGTATCGTTCTGATTTCT